TACTTTTCTAGTATTTCAAAAATCTTTCCCAGTTTTGTTTTTTTTTCTTTAATCTGCTACAGTAGTGAAACCAACTAGATTTGAATAGTTTTCTTTCCCAAAGAACACTATTAGAATCCAAATCTTGCTTCTTTTTCCCCACTTTCTTTGTTTTTATGGCCCACGTTGTAAAATGCCTCACTATCCCTAAAGACTAAGATGAGCAACAGTTACCACCCAAGAAGACTGGTACAGAAAAACTCTCCTGGAAAGTTTAGTTTGGGCCAATTATTCACATTAAATTGAACATTTTTAGTTTAATAGAAAATGAGAAAGAAAATGCAGATCTTGCTTTAAGTATGGTTACATCTACCTGTTTCGCAGGACCTTTAAAAGCATGAACTTTCAAAACAACTGAATTGCACATTTTATAATGAAAGATTGCTTCTCAGTAGGCCAACCCCATACCTTTAACCTGCTATTAAATTTCAGGCGATTCTCAAGGGTAGGAAATATGATTTGGAAATTTTTATCACTTAGCATTTAGTTGATGTATATTGAGTGGTTTTTACTCTAAAAAGCTATCCATCAGAAATACATTTTCATCAATAAGTCACAAGAATTTATGTCCCACAACAGTATATGTTTCTTTGCTGTCAGGTTTTACATGAACTTTTTGGAAGGCCCTGGGGATAGGCAGTCTATGATAATACCATACAGAGAAAATGATCACTCTTTTCAGAGAACACAGTAGTGTGTTGGACAAATGTTACAAGCATATTAAAATCAGAAATGGAAATGTCGGACTCCAGGGATCCTATTAAGTATCCCCAATATATTTTATAATGGAATAAAGAAAATCTATTTTAAAACATTTTAATTAAGTAAAAAGTGAAGGTAACTCTGATCTTTGAGTCTACAAAATGTCAGTAATCTTCCTAAAATCATCATTTCATAAAAAAAAAATTTATATATTCTCAGAACAGTACAAACATATAACTTTCCAAAGTTCTAATAAGAAAAGATAAGCTGGATTTTACAAACAATAGATTATTAATAATTACACCTAATATTTAGAGTATATCTCATGGAGGAGGTAACTTCACCTTCCACATATCTCTGATAAACTAGACTTTTCTCATTTTAGATCCTTCTTGTCAATTTTTCATACTATTGAGGATGAAGATTTTAATAAATGCTTTAACTATATGATGTACTGAATTCAGAATAGGAAACGTAAACAAGTTACCTATTCCAACTGAAAACCTATTCTACTAGAATGGGTGAACCTAGGCTATTTAACAAAGATCTCCAACATTCAACTAAGCTTTTACCCAGATGCCTGCCACATTTCGCTGAGATTTTCTGCTTCCCAAATTCTGAACAATTTATAATCCTACTATTAAAATGACATTTACTGATCACCACCATCACCCTCCCCCTCCACCCCGCCCCACCACAGCTCCACTGAAACCTACAAGAGCTTTGTTTTAGGACTATCAGGTCCAGGTTCATAAATTTTGTTCCCTTCTCCTCTCTGCTTACTACCTTAAAGACATTCCCATATAACTTTTACCAACCATCCTCCTAAACCCAGAGTTCCCTTCATTTCAAGCAATTCCTAGGATAAAACCTTCTCTGGAATATTAATATGAAAAAAATACTTTCCTAAATTGTATCCTCAAAATGAAAACTTTAAGTCTTTACTACTCAATAATATGTACTTTCTCAATAAATATTTAAAACTGCAATTTTAATTATCTTAAATTAATGTATTTTATTTTTTCAATGTTGTCTACATGAATGTAAAAATATAGTCTATCCAAGTTTATAAACTTCCAGAGGTCTGACACCAAACATTTACTCACAAGGAATAACACATAATACAATGCCCTGCTAAATTGAGCATAAATGTTTAATAAATGTTTTTGCTGCTGAGCTTCTGAATCTCAAATTCTCTTTTATGTTTTGTGGTTTTAAAGGTCTCATCCATTACATCTTAAGAGAATCTATAAAAATCACTGTAAGAAGAAAGTATCACCTAGTAGTTATGAGTACACTAAAATAAGAAATTGTGCAATCAAATTCTAACTCAGTTATTGCCTATTCCCTTGGTTAAGCCTTCTCAACTTTGGTGTTTTTTCGTGGTGGATTTTTGTTTTTGTTTTGCATAAAAGACAATCCAACAGTATCTATTCTAAGAGGTTATTAAGAATAAAACATAACTTCTCAAATAAAAGTGATTCACAAAGATCAAGTGATCATATAACCTGGTTTGCTGGGACAGTTCTGATTTACACCTGTTGACCCACTGTAAATTATAGCTCACCTACACCAAGCAACTTCACTTTCAAATTTTCCAATAATAAAATCTATGGTCAGCAGTGCTGGTTACCGAGTTACTTTCTCCCCATAGCATAGATCTCTTTTCTACACTCCAACATGACTAGAGTTGGGACTGTCAAAATTATATTTCTCCTTTGCCAGCTGAATTGTTAGGCTCCACTAATAGAAGGAACAGAGGACAGAACTAGGAAAGCAAGAAGAGAAAGAATCATGCTATTTCCAGTTTGCTCGTTCTTGTCAGCCTCCCTGAGCAATATTCATTCCAATTATAGTACCATGAGAATGAACCATGTGATTGGAGGACAGGAAGGGTGCTACTCCCACGACCACCTCCAGAGAAGGGAATGGGGCTGAAGGTTCCTTTGACCACCAAAGGTCAACAATGTAATCAATCATGCCTACTTCATGAAGGCTTCATAAAAACCCAGGGTCAGAGAGCTTCCAAAATACCTATCACTTAGAGGTGCTTGAAGGATAGTATGCCTGGAATGGGGCTAGAAGCTCCCCTTTATCCCATAAATGTGTCCTTTTATCTCTTCATTTAGCTGGTTACTTGTATCCTTTTAAATATCCTTTATAATGGTCAGTAACATAAGTGTTTCCCAGTTTTGAGAACCATCCTAGCAAATTAATTAACCCAAGGAGTAGGCAGCAGGAACTTCTAAATTATAGCTGCTCATGGGTCAGAAGCATAGGTCACAACCTCAAGCTTCTGATTTCCATCTGAAGCATCATGCAATTTTGTGGAACCAAGTCCTTAAGCTGCTGGATCTGACACTACCTTTAGGAGACAGTGTCAGAACTTAGTTGAATTATAAATTGCCACTTGATGTCCACTAGAAAATCTGATGTCAGAAATAAAAACTAAGTGTAGGAAAAGTTTTTCCTACTCTTTTACACTACCATATAGTAAATGCTTAACAAACTGTTTTCTATATCCTCGCCATATCAACTACCTACCCAGAAAACTATAAATCCTAAGAGCTACTAGTAATTACATAACTTCTTTAGAAAATAAGCTCTACTGGCTTACAACAAAAGTGAAGGAAAAGATCTTAGCTGATAAATTTCAAGCTAGCAAAGCTCACCAGGAAGTATAGCAGCAAAGAGCTAGGGAAGTTTAGCAGAAAGTATATGTTTTTTCATATCATGAAATACAATTGAATGATAAGTGTGGTTGTGATTTTAAAGATAAACGTGACTAATATCCACTCCCCCCATTATTTTTCATTTATTTTTATGTGGTATTGAGGATCGAACTCAGTGCCTTATGTGTGCCAGGCAAGGGCTCTACCACTGAGCTACAACCCCAGCCCCTTCCTTATTTTTTTTTTACAGAAAATACTCTTTCTTCATACTGCCACCTCTACTATCCAACTTTATAAGCCTTTCAACTCTACAGTTACTGATTATTAACACTAGAAGAAATGGAAAAATAATTCATATTCTACTATAAGACAAAAGTTACACGAACATGAACAGTGAGCATTCTTCCCTAGGCCACCGTAAAAATAGAACTACTGGCATCCCAGGGAAAGAATTTATATTAAAAACCAAGAAGATATCTCTTTAAGTAGGAGGGAACAAAAAAGGTATTGTTCCAATAAAGTGATAGACTAGCAAGTCTAGACTTACTTTAATGTTTTATTCTTCACTTTCCTGGAAATCAATATATTTCATGATCAAGACACAGAAGGCAATCATCAGTACACGTAGTACAAATTTTTAAATTTCTATTTGTTGCTCTGAATCAATGATTATTATTATGAACACTGATTTCACATTCAAATTTTCTATTCAAGGTGAACAATTAAATTGTTCCCAGAGAATTCTTTGAAATAGCATTCACTGTTCTAGTAATCCCTACTAGTTTTCTATTAAATTTCTAATGGCTAACTCTTAATACAATACTCTAGGAGGCTCACAGCATTTAAAAGTACCTCAAATTATATTAAATCTAAAACTTGAAGTTTAAAGAAAGGTCACTAAAATAGACAACCCAACTTTCTTCCTAAGAAAGCCCATATAATCAGGAAACATATTAGTGAAGGCCTGGAATGGGTACCACTTTTCTATGACCTATCTTCTGTAGTCATTTGTTTCCCCCTAATGAACTTTTACAAGGCAGAAGAGCCAATACTTGGAAAAAGTCTATCTACTGTTTCCTGGTGAATCACAGAATGTTCCTTTATTTTCATTAAACATAACCTTTAATTATTTCTGTAGCTTACTATTTTATATTTTCTAAATGATCAAAATTTAAATCTTTCACTTTTTTTATGAAGTTAGGTGATTCAAACTTTTCTCACTCAATTAGGTTAAGGAAGAAATATTCAGATTTAACTTTCATTCTTATGTTAACATGCCAAAGGAGTTCAAGAACACAAAGTTAAACAGGTCAAATCCATATACACAATGTTTAGTCCCTCTAACTAGAAAGGCATGACTCTAAAAAGAAATGAGGCCTATGTTGAGTCATCTAATATTGAAACAGAATGTAAAATTTGATGAGATCTTTGTGATGGAAATAAAGGTATTATTCTATCACTATTTGTATTTCAATCTTTGTTTTAGAAACCAGTAAAAATATAAAAAAGATTTTAGAATATTCTATTAAAAGGGTTAAAAGATTTTAGAAAGCAAAATAGAAAATTTTTAAACTTTAGAATACTAATAAATAAACATTTATTAATGAAAGTCTAAAAAAAGTGTACACCAAAAGAAATGACTAATGTTAAATTAAAAAAATCTGCAAAGAATATGTACCACGATTTGATTTTTTAAAAATTTTATAGAAACCTATATTATGAATACAAAGTTAAACAATGCTCATACAAAGAAAGTTAACAATAAAACATAAATACAGAAGATGCTTAATGTTGGTCCTTCTGAGAATAAGAACTTAAGTAGGTTTCTTTTTTAACATTACTCCAGGCACAAAAAAAAAATAGAATGTAATATGGTAACTTCAACATTCTTAGTGTTTTTATCCTTGTAATTCTTTAAATATCACCAGTCATGATAGCAATGAACTCCTCTTGATTTACTGTAGTAAGAAAGAAAATAAAAGTCAGAAATAGATACCTTATTTGTTCAGCAAATATTACAACAATCATTTTATATTAATTTTTAAATTTTATATTATACAAAATTATAGTAAGTTGATGAACTTTATGAATATGAAAATACATATGATAATCATTCTAAATTAGTATTCTATAATATTAACCAGGGAAAAGACAGTATATTATGTGTTACTTAGACAGTATCACAGTCAAAGCATTTGTATACACTTGATAAAACAGTTCAAAAACATGACATTTTAAATTTCTTAAATGGTTAAACAACTCCTTTTTATAATCTTTATTCTACTAGTTCACTTAGCAAACCCTTCCTTCACAAATAAGCTTAAACATATCATGCATGTAAATAAGTAGAATTCTAAAGAATGAAAATTAAATTTTTAAAAACTCAAGTTGTTCTTCTTGAACTTTCAAAAGTTTATTTTAAAGAAAAAAATAACAGAAACCAGGTCACCACACCTCAAAAGTATCAACAGAAATGGCAATTTGAAAAATACAAATTTCATCTTAATTATCAAAGAAATATAGCAACTATAAAATATAGATGTAAATGTAGGAGGGAAAATCAACTGATAACAACTACTTGTAAGTTTACCAATGTCAGTAAGAATCTCCAGTTTATAGGGCATATTATTTAAGAAATAAACTAGAAATAAACAGGAAATCAGATAATCTTATTAAATACAATTTTAAAAACACAGTATATACATGCAAACCCAAATTAATAAAAATGTTCAGAAAATAATGTTCTGTATCTAACAGGTGAGTTTATGAATTTATGGCTCCAAGACTTAACATCGCTTAAACCATAAACTATTATTGATAATTTTAATAATAGTTAAAAAAACTACACTGAGAAATAAAAGATCTGACCTTCTAGTTATACCTCTGCCAAGAATAGTTCCTCATCTCATTTTCTTCATCTGAATATAATGAAAATCAGATGATGTTTTTAGATTGTTTCTCATTCTAAAAATCCTCAATGACAAAATATAAAAACACTGAATTAAATCAGACATTTTTAAGTGTCTAGAGAACGCCAACACCACACTAAGTGTTATATAGTAAATCAAAACAGACACTAAGGTTCTTACTTTGTAATATATCTAAATTGAAGTGAGAAAGATAATAAATAATACTATAAAATCATTGTTAATTGTCTGAGGTGCATAACTATATCCTTATTCTTATTAATGTTATTCTTATTCTTAGTAATAATCCTTATTCTTAATAATGTTAAAATATTGGGAAGACATTTTTGACATATGGATATAGTAAAAATTTTCAAGTGGTTCAAAAAACATTTCATGGATAAAGCAAATACAGTAAAATATTAATTACTGAATCTAGGCAGGTGTACAGGGGTATTCATTGTAATAATTAAACAATTTTCTGTTTGAGAATATACATAATAAAAAGTTAGAAAAATCAACCGATTAAAAATGTTGAGGAAACAACCATGTACATCAGGAATAAAAAGAATATACTAGTTCCAAAGTTGTGTTGCAGTTGTGTACAATGAATCAAAATGCATTCTGCTGTCATGTATACCTAATTAAAATAAATAAATAAATAAGAATATACTAGTTGCAGAAATCACATTGAAAACCAGTTTCAATAACTATGTCAATTAGGTTTTATACCTTAAACAGAGAATATGTGTTACTAAAATAAAATATGACCTATTATTAAAAAAATATCTATTATAGAAGGAAAAAAATCATTATTAATGACAGAAATTAGGTAAAAGCAAACCATTATTTAAGCTTTGAAATAAGAAGGAATTTGAAAGAGGTGGAAAAAGAGCAAAAGTAGAATAATACCATCAGAAATACAGTAACAGAAAAAGAATAATGCATACCTAGTAAAAAGAAACTTCAAGTTAAGGAGAAAGAGTTGTTCAAAAGCTGATAGAAAACTAGGAATCTATGTATTCAGTATTAAACATTTACAAGGCACTGTAACATATGTGGTGAGAACAAACTCTGTAACATTCTCACACTACCTTCAAGGATCTTAGAAATTGGAGTAGTGATCTTTAAATTATGATGCTAAATAACCACATTTGAATATCTTGTGAAAGCTATGACCCTTATGTCCCCCCAATAAATATTTAAAAGTTCAAATATATAAAAACTTTTCAAAATTTAATCAGTATTGGCCTCCTTTTAAGAACCTCTGATTTAGTAAACATAGACTGAGGCATCTAGACCAAAACAGGTAGCAAGACTGTATGTTCTTAAGAAAAAGAACATAATAAGAACACTCTTAGATGAATTTACTACATATCATTTTAACAGTATAAGAGTCATGATTAAAACATTCAAAATCTACAAAATTTCTTGTTCTGCTACTTAAGTTTTAAATTAAGTTTCATCACACACACTTAAGTTTATATTATTTAAACATATATACTTTTAGAGTATATATGTATTTTAAGCTATTCCATACCTGAAAACATAAAAGGAAAAAGAAGCTAGAGGAATCAGATACTTTACTAACAGCCTTTCAATCAATTAGAAGAGAATCAGTGCTACCTTTGTACATTTAACTTTATAACTTCTATCAACAATGTCTCATAAATCTAGCATAAAACAAGCATTTGACAAAAAATATTTATTGAATCAAGCAAGTGATGGCTTTATTTTCTTCCACACTGCTGCCTTTAAGAAAATTTTCATAACTCAGTCATTTCACAGAGTAAATCTTATTACAAGTTATTTATAATAAGAATTTTAGAGAATTACAGAGAATAAACAGAATAAATACCTTAAAGAACATCTGTCTTTAAAAGGGATAAAACTAAAGTTTAGCATCAGAAGTACCAATTGATAGATTGCTTCCTATGTCATTTCTAAAACTCCATAAACATAGAAATCTAGTCAACACTCTGTTTTACAGCACAAGATGCAAAATGTATTATATATAAAAGCATATTCTTTGTTATTAAGGAGATCTGAGTTTCAGTTCCAGTTCTGTCATGTATTAGCTTTGTGATAACCTTGGGTAGGCTATTAATCTCTCAAAGATTTAGCTTCTTCATTTATTATTCATGCATCTATCCTATGCATGTAAAGGTATAATATTATATTTTACAAAAGTTATTATGAAAACTAGGCAACATAATTAATAATCTGAAACACAGATGTGTTTTATAATTCAAAGATTTTACACTTGAAGCATAAATCTAACTACTAAATAAATGTTAGCAATAATCATCATTATTTAAAATATGGTGCATAGCATCTTTTGAAATGGTGCTTTCTCTTTTCCAAAAAGATATATACTATGTTTATTTAGGGAGATCAGGGTATGATATTATACCATTATCACAGCTTTATGTCTATCTTGTAGCAACTCCACATACATCATATTTATTTTGCTTTATATATAAGTTTTTAAAAATTCATTGTCCTTAAAAACTAGACAGCATGAAAATTCACAAAAGCAATTACTAAAGTCCACAAAAGAAACAGCAAAATAGTATGATCTTTAGCAGTTTAAAATACAAAAAAAATAGTTTATACCTCTAACTAAATTTAGTTCGCAAACAAAAAAATCCATATTAAATACATGAAAGTATCAAAGCAATTTGTTCTTGTAAATGCTATGAGTCTCAATGGAAGACTCAATTCAAACACACCATTAGGGGAGGTTTTTTGAGGAAAAGCTAGTGTTTAAAATGTACCCAGTAAAATGAATAACATTTTAGCAGACAGAAATTGGCAAATTAGAGCACTCTAAGATTAAGGAACAGCATGATGAAAGGCACTGCACAAAAAAGGATACAGAGTATCCTGTCAAAGTGTGTACATACAGGAGGTGAGAGCTAAAGTAGAAAAGTGGAAGAATACAGTGGGAAATAAAACTAGTTACTTAAAGTGGGACAGATCATAGAAGGCTTTATACTTTACTCTGCGGGCAATGAAGAACCATTAAAACGTTTAAACACAGAAATGGTATCATCAAACCTGTATTTTAGGAAAATAATGCTATTAATAGACTGAAGAAGAAAGATTAGAGATTTATGTACACCGAGTGCAATTAGAAGGCTGTAAAAGACAGCAAAGTAAGGGCAGGAACCACATCTGCCTATTTCATTGTATAGCACTAGTCAGCACACAGAACACTGCTCCTAATAGATAGCCAAGCAAAGAATAAATAAGGCTATTACAAAATTGCTAAGAAGAAATCAGTGTGTGAATTAGGACAGCAGCAGTGAACAAGGGAAAGACAGATTAAAAACATTTGAACAGTAAAATAAATATAACTTAGTTTAGAAATGCATGCAGGTTGAGGGAAAAAGCATTAAAGTATAAAATTTTACTGAGTGGTTAAAATTTTGGTGATGTTTTATCTTCAGAGAAAACTAAACTACTTCTTGAAGTATGGAACTTCATATTAAAATCTGTACAGTAGGTTTCAAAGATCTGCTTCATTTTAAATTGAATTTGCCAAATAGTTAAGCAAAAATATGATATTACAAGATGAATAACACACTGAATAAAAAGTGACTGTTTAGAGCAAGGCACAGTAGCTCATAACTGTAGTTCTAGCTACTTGAGAGGCTGAGGCAGGGGATTATTTGAGCCCAGGAGTTGCCCACTTTGGGCAACACCTTGACATCTTGTCTCAAGAAAGAAAGAAATGATAAGTTTGTAAAGAGTCTTGAAAGTCACTTAGTTTTAGAAAAATTTAGTGTATGTGTGATATCAAGGATACTTGGAAAATAGGTTTATGCAAAACTTACTTTCTCCATCACCATCTTTATCAAACTCTTCTATCATAGCCCGAAGTTCTTCATCACTCATATTTTCACCCAATTCTCTTGCAACTCGTCGCAAATTCCTCAAGCTTATTTTACCTGAATCATCATCATCAAATAGTTTAAATGCCTTCAGTATTTCTTCATGTGGGTCTCTTTCCAATATCCAGTCTGTCACTACAGTTAAAATATATATATATATTTTTTAAACAAAACCTGCATAATCACAAAAGCATTCGTATTTGAAATCAGCTAAATATTAAATAAGAAGAAAAGCTGCAAATCTGTCAACATTTAGTCTAATATAGTTATAAATAAAATGTCAAATTAGATTCATAAAATTCATAGATAAGCTTTAAATTAGAAAAATCAAATCTATATTTTAGATTTTAAATGTCAACAATTTATCTTATTATAAGGGTATGCAAAACTATGTATATCACAAAAATGCAAAAAATAAAAAGGACTACATATATACCGTATTTATTTAATGTCTACTATTGAACTGTACTAAGAATTACACTAGATTCCACTGACATCAAGCAAAAATAAATCTAGTTTATAGCCTACTTCTAGAAAGAAATATCAAGAAAATATTTAGAGCTAACTAGATAAATGCCATCTGTTAACTAAACTTAATACATTTATTCTTCATCAAATTTAATCTAACTTAAAAACAAACAACAACACAAGACCTGAGGAGTTAACAAAAAGCACTGCCATCATTGATAGAGGTATAATCTCGGACAGTAGATGAAAATTCAACTAACATCTTCATGAGTAGAAGAAACTTTTGGTTTTCCAAAATGTGAGAAGTAAGTTAAAAGGATTAAATCTGATTATAGTAAGAAAGCTATATTTAAAAGAAAAAATAAAACCCTCTGAAAAGGAGGTCTCCCTAAAATCATATCCAATTTGCTCAGTATAATAACTCTCAACTTGCTGAAAATAAATGTGATTTCAGACCTTAACAGTAATAGTTTACTTTAACATACTAAATGTAATCATATATAACAATACAGTCAGCTTAAATATTTTCCACACTTTCTGTCTTCAATAAATAGCCACAATAATGAAAACTGAACTGAAAATCTGTGTTATAATTTTTTTAAGTTACTAGATAAAATTCTGAAAATATGCAAATAAACACTTATGAAGTTATTCTATATGCTATTCTATCTCTGTAAGAAAAGGTTATTTATATGATTTTCATTATACCATTAAAAGTAACTTAGTACTGTTGAGAATCTTTAGAAAATTGCAACTGCTTGTAGATAGGAACTACTAGAACATTTAAATGAACCCCAAATGAAAAAATACAATCCAAGTTCTCAACAAGTTGTTTTGCTGCTGCTGCTTCATCTGTATTTAGTTGAACAAGCACCTATTGAAGCTGATGTTATGTCATCTATACATATATTCAATACTTTAATCCATTAATTTTATCCAAATAGGCTTCCAAGTAACTAATTGAAGTATATTACTATAAGTATGCAAATCATCAAAGCTCATAAATATTCAGTCAAAAAGGAATTGGCATATATACAGCCATAACACCAAAATAAAATACCACACTTAACTCTATGGCTCATACTCAACTTATTTTGAATTTAGTCCCAACAAAAAAGCAGGACAAGGAAAAAAAAAGTGTTAAGAAATTTTCTTCACCAATTAAATAATTAACATGACAGGTGAACCAAAAAAGCAGCTTGCAAAAAAGTATTAATGTACTTAAAGAAGCAACAGGGTGATCTGGGGAACAGATGGGGCTCCAAGATGTACAAATTCTTATCCCACTAGTACTTTGTGTTAGTTATTTCAGATTTATGTGTCTATATAGTCTTGTATCAATACTCTCTTAGAATAAAAATTTCTTAGGAATTAAAATGCCCATAATTCCGAACAGCTAAAACATTAGCATATAATTTTATAGTGACTATCCTTCATGCTTTCACATTCTTTTCCTGTTCTACAAAGTAAAATTTAATTATAAGAACATTTTTTTCAATGAAATAAGTCAATTGTCATACAGGCAATTAAGATAAGTTTTATTTATTTTACAGAATACCAAATTTCTGTCCATGTGACTATTTTCAAATGATTTTACTACACTATCAGAAATGTACTTCATCAAAATAATTAGACCTTACCCATATAAAAATCACTTTAGAATACAGCAAACTCAAAAACATTACATTAAAAGTAAATAAAAAAATGACTAAAGGTCATGGTTGAAATATCAACTATATTTCTCATTGCCTTTTCAAAGGCTCTGTCCAAACATATCACACTTACTTAAGGTCAACATGCTGTACTCCAAACTCCTTCCATGATCCCCATAGTAGCTCCTTGTTGAATCCCAGTCCACCAGGCCCCGAAAATCATCATTAACAGCTAGTTTCCCCTACTTCAAATATCTAAATTATATTCCCATAATCATCATCAATGATTAGCTCTTGTATTTCTGAAGGTTTTTTAAAAAACTTTTAAATATAACCCTTTCCTTTTTATCCTCCTCATCATCAGGATAAAAAGTCTAGTACTTTTTGTCTACAATCTTTTTCTTCCAAATCATCTACTATATTTTCATCAGCTATCTTTCTAAAACACATCATATCCCATTCCTTAAAAATTGTTAATGATGCTTTGTTAACTAAAGTCAGAACTCAATATTATGCCATACTTTACTAATCTGGCCCAAGCCTACTTTCCCAGTCATTTCCCAATCTTTAGTCAAGGGCACTAACTGAAGTTTCCCAAACTGCAATAGTTTCAGTATCATTTTTTGTTGTTTTGTATGCCTATGATGCCTTTTCTCTACTCCTGCAAACTTCTCCTTGGAGATCTTATTCACATTCTAAAGGCCTAAATTAGAAGTCCCCTCTAGAATATCATCTTCAATTCCTCATCCAGAGGAATCTTTCCTGTAAAAGGACGATTGCAAATATTTTATGCTTTGCAGGGGACTATAAGGTCTCTGTCAAAACTGCTATGTTACCAGAAAAGCAACATAAAAGAATGTGTTTGGAAGTGTACAGAGTGCCATTAAATGTGTTCCAAGAGCTATAGTTCAACAATTCCCACCCATGACAAAATTATACTTTACCTCATAGTACCAAAGATGTAGTAAATTGTAAGCATCTGAAAAGAAGAATCTCTTGGTAACTTTTCATTAATTCCCCTTCCTCACACCAGTATAGTACATAATGCCAAAAAATTCAGTGTTTGTCAAATAAGCATAATGAAAATACAATATTCCATTCTAAATAGGCAATTAAATGATAAGTAATATATGCCAAAAACAGATGAAATACAAACATCCAATTTGTCTTAAAGACAGCAATTCCTAAAATACCTACTGCACTCATTAGCCTCAGGCTGCCTTGACTCTAAACTTGGATTAAATATATTTAAGTGCTTTTTTCCCTAGTATTATAACCCAATTAAGTGCCAGACTTCATTGGGAAATATCTAAAGGAACAGTACAGAAAATTAAGACTGATTTAGAGTCACTTGTCACAAAACATAAAACAAATTAATCTGTGATCCCTTATTAGTTAAAAGTAATCAACAAATGGGTGTTATACATAGTTCTTGATTGTTTGATACCCAAACAGTAATAAAGCTTTATTGGATACTACTACTCAATAGGTGGCCTTAAAATAGCCAAAATATGTGTTGAGCACATCAAAAGGTTGATCTTTGAGAGCTTAAGTTTTACCATAGCTATTTATTCTAGAAGGAACCCAGTATTTATGCTTTGTTGACAGGGTGTCAGGAAAAGATAGAGACAAAATGGGTATCTGGTCTCCATTAAAATTATAATTTTAAAATTGTATTCATTAAATTTTGTATAGTTGATTTTAGTGAATTATTATTTTAGTCAGACACAGTAACATAAGCCTGCAATCCCAGTGGCTTGGGAGGCTGAGGCAGAAGAATCACTAGTTCAAGGCCAGACTAGCAATTTAGCAAGGCCCTAAGCAAAACTTAGGAGATCCTATCTCAAAATAAAATACAAAAAGGGCTGGGGATGTGGCTCAGTGGTTAAATGCCCCTGGGTTCATTCCCTGGTGCAAAATAAAAGTATTCATTTAAGATGAAATAATGTATAGGATTATTAATGATAATAATAGTTCTTAAAATAGTCTGCATCTATGAAAAAGACAATGAGAAAAATATATGCAAAATAGGATACACTTTATGTCACAGTGATGCATATATATTTTTAGATACTGAAAACAAATGAAACAAAATCTATTTTTTAAAATAATAATAGCAAACACTTAGTAGCACTTATATATGTCAGGTACAGGTACTTTTCTAAGCACTTCAAATATTACTGACTTATTTAAACCTCACAAGAACCTTATGAGACATTACAACTATCCCCCATTTTACAATTGAAAATGAGATGCTGAGAAGTAAAATTATCAAGTTTTATAACTAGTAAGTGACAAAACCAACATCTGAACCCAGGGAATCTGGTTCCAAGGTAATCCATTCAAAGGAATTATTGCTCTTTCCTGATAGTATCATTTCCAAATATCCTAACACATTATTTCTATAAATGATTCAAGCTGAAACTTCAAATACTACAATTATAAACCTCAGAAGAACATCTATTTCAGAAGAAGAAAGGTGACACTATTCCTCTTGAGTAAATACTTTCACAAGCTAGAGGGAAAAAAAACAAATATGTTCCCAAAAGGGATAAGCTGCCTCTCTAAACAATCATATGCTCTTCTATGTTGTGGTTTCTTTCTCTTGATTTATCATTTATCTTTAGTCTCTACCACTTTTGGTTTGAGCTTTCAAATCAGAAAAAGAAAAAATAATAATAATAACTACTGTGAATCTATTTTTCTTTTTGCTTCCCATGTTGCTTCTTGCTGAATATTTAAAATAAGGGGCGTGTGTGTGTTTGTGTGTGTGTGTGCGCGCGCGCGCACGCATCTGCATTTGTTTCCAAATTTTTTAAATACCTGAAAACAACTATATGATATGCTTGTATTATGACTCATACAAAGTGTTATCATTGGTTTAAAAAAATAATTTAACTGAAATAAACCTGAATATTTATACATTCTATATTTAACATTCTAGGCAATTTAAGTTATAATAGCCAAGTCCTAGCCTTCCAGAATCTCCCATTCTGAAAAAGCCTCATCTATGTATGCTACAAATAATTCACTAAAATCAACTATACAAAATTTAATTATATTAAGTCCATTATCTTCAGTTGGAAGTTCCAAAATGTTTTCTCCTACTTCCAGTCAGCCAATTATTTCCCTTACTACAATCCTCTCCCCACCCTCAGATGACTTTATTCACTGAAATCAAGTCTATCCAAATTATATAGTCCCTCATAAACTGTCAACCTGAAGGCATGTGCTTCATCTACAGCCAAAGGTACTAACTGCTACAAGTCTCCTTTTCTCCCACTTTGCCAACAAAAATCACATACCAAAAAGTTTTTGGGAAATATTTTCCACACAGCAGGATACCAATTTTCTGTTTTACTGAGAGAAAATAATTTTTGATCACCCTTTTAGTTTTAACATAAAATAAATACACATTCCTTGGAAAAACTTCTTTTCATAAAAAACAATAGTTCCTTGTTAGAATCTTTAGAACAAAATGAAGACAAAACTATAAATCTCACAGCAAAGTTATAAATATGTTTTCTTTGAAAACCAGGAAAAAAGGAGGACCAAAAGATAACCTGGATAAGAGCTATATTATACACCAACATTGAATAACAAAATTCTATAATCATGTTGCTTCTTGAGAATTCATGAGAATTTTAAGAATTTAAATTCAAATTCATGAGAATTTTAAAAAAGGAAAAATGTTGTATTAATTAGATAATTTACCAACAACAGCCGGTTACAAAGATTATTAAAATACACACCAACTTCATTAAAATCTTCAAAGGTGATTTTCCCTGTGGCTTCTCGGTCATAATCTTTAAGAATCTTCAGTACATCAGCTTTTTTTACATCAAACCCCAAGGCTCTCATTGCCACCTTTTGGATTAAAAGGGAAAAGCAAATTATAAAGCATTCTTTACAAAAGTGATTTCTGATTCTTGAGATTTTACATATTAAGAAATAATGTTAATAAAATGTAATTATTTTAAATGTTTCATATCTCTAAAATAGCAGTGTTAATGTAGTTGTTCTTCACCACTGAAACTTAATAAAAATATTTTTCTTTTATATTTTACTTTTTAATATGACTAACAAGTGTTTGTATATTCTACAATGTACTGAATTAACACAAGTATAATTTCAACAACATATTTGTTCTCAAGGAATTAGAATCAAAATAGAGAAAAGACATGGCATAACTATTAGAAAGTTATATAAGAGAAGAGACAAAAGGATTAAGAATTACCATCAAATCCTGAATGACTATTTACTAAAGAAGTGGTCCAGAATCCTGAGGTTAACAATGAAGGAAACAGAAAGAGAAGTTTTGTTGCTTGTAACAGAAAGGAGTAATATGTTACTGGTTAACAAAGTCTTACTTGGAGAGTTCAAGTTGTCCCTTATGAATAGATAAAGTGTAGCAATGGGACATTTAGAAAGGATGAGTGGCATTAAAATACACACTAAAATAAAGAATAGGTTTGAGGTGAACAGAACTATTTACCTTATCAGAAGGAGAAGAGTTCAAATAAATGAGAGCAGATAGCAAATGAGAAAAATAGATAGTAATAGAAATATAGGAAGCATTCAACAGAAAGAAAGGAATTTGAACCTTTATACAGTGTGTAATAAGGAGTCATAAAAGTTTGTCAGCAATGAACAATATGGAAAGAAAATGTAAGAAAGCTCTAAATCTAATGGTAGTATACAAGACAAACTAGAAGTGGGGAAACAACGTAGGAATATTCAGCTATGAAATGAGTCCCAAACCAAGACAGTCAATAGTAACAAATGGAAGACACATTATAAAGGAAGAATAAAATAAATGTGGGTAATTACCAAATTAAAAAAAAAAAGAACAACTAGAAAAAGAGAGTTAATGAGGACTGCAGGATTGAAAAGGCTAGACTTATGGACTCATCATTGCTTTTATATGTTCTATCATGTCACTGTATAGTTCCTATTCCTATCTGGAATTCTTCTACTTAAAAATCCCTTACAAAGTTACCAAAATTAAAACTACCAAGTACACATTTATATTCACCTATCCATTAAAGAAAACTCAAAATCTCAAGATGCCATCCTTCTCTAAGACCCCTATAACCCTAGACACCAATTTTCTATTTTATCTTTATAAATAATTCCAAGCCTCAAGACTGACATTTATCCCCATTAGTGTGCATCAACATCAAGTATCAAACAATTTATAGTGTTTGCACTAAAGAAAGTAGGTTAAGGCAATATGCAAAAACTTATAATGTTCCTCTAATTTCAAAAGTATGAGTAATCCCCATCCCACAAAAGAAAGAAACCAACAGTGGGAGAAGAATATGATAAGAACTGTTTAAATGCCATGTTCTGAAATGGTTTAATTATGTGAATGAAAAATAATCACCTTCCATAGGAATAAACTTTTATGTTTAAAATGCCTTTTAAAATAACTTTATATTTAAAATATATTTCATTTTATTAATTAAATGAAAAAGATTTTCTAAATGCTATGCTAGGGAATTGATTCCATTCTATTACAGCACTTGTGAGTGTTTAAAATGGCTTTATAATTCCAAAATCAGTTTAATTAAAATAATTGTTTAAAAATATATATTAAGCTATCAAAAATGCAGATCATTTTATAGAAAAATATTTTAATTTAGTTACCTTTAATTCATGATAATCTATTGCTTCATCTTTGTCTGTATCAAATAGCTCAAAAGCATCTTTAATTTCTTGCTTCTGTTCCTCAGAAAGTTCTCTTCTTTTTTTTCTCTTTGTTTTGTCAACTACAAGTTCACTTCTATGAAATGGAAAGAAAAGCCTTTAGCTCACTTTAATCCAAATATATTTTGCAAACTAGCTACAGAGTGATTTTCCAAATTTCAGACCTTTATTTATTTTATTTATTTGTATATGGTGCTAAGAATCAAACTCAGTGCCTCACATATGCTAGGCAAGCGTGCTACCACTGAGCCACAACCCCAGCCCAATTTTCCAAGTTTCATAAAAGGAAACATTTTGGAGAATCATAAAGAAATTTTCCCTATAAGTCAAAGCACTGCTTATTTCAAAATTAAAAGGCTAGACTTATGGGCTAATAATTTGTATTCCCAAAACTGAATAGTTATATATCAGGTTATTATTAAAAGAAATAATATCAAACTTTCCCTCTTCCCTCCTATGCATTTACTCTCACTTGTACTACCTGAGAATCAAAGCACCCATACCACATTCACAACATTCTATAAAATCATTTAAAAAGTTTCCAAATGAAATTAATAATTGATAATAACTACATACTTCATTTACTTTTGATAGTACTTTTAAATAAGTTCTTAAAATTTCTACCTAAAAAAGAACCATGTAATTTATCTATGACTTATAAAATTATTTTGGCATTCTAAATTTTTAATTTACAATGTTTTTAGATTATGTTTTTCTAACAGTTTGGTACTTTATTTGTAATTTCTTCCACTGATATTAACAAATCAACCAGAGTATTTATAGGCCAAAAGATATCACAAATATTAGAGACCAAAACATAGTATATAATATTTGCACTTAATTTTTTAAGAAATGTGAAAAGTAATTTTCACTTAACATGTAAATTATATGTTAAAACTTCTTTCTCCTAACAAACTCTGGAAATGCTTAAAAAAATAAAAAGCAAAATTTTAAATCAGAGATGTATTCCTTAAGAGCTGCCAATTTATAAAGTGGTCCAAGTTTTTAAATGAGGGTGCAACACGTGTATAAGCACAAGTTTTAAAACATGGAAGAATCCTGTAAAACTTTGACATATAAAAAAAGTTGACAGTATTCGAATGTGTTATCCCATTACACTTCAAAGTCATTTTGGTCTTTAACACATACCCCCAAAAAAGACGAGATAGCTAGAAAGTGACCAGCAGGAACAGTATAATAAAGCTGATTTTCCTTTACAAATGACCTGACTTTACACAAATCTGGGCATTCCTGGGGTCAGTCATTCCCTTCCCAAGACTCAGAAAGTCCAAGTCCAGAACACACACGTGAACACAGCCAATGGGGACCACGACTGCCTTTAAGCACAGCAATGCACGTTTCTAGAATGGCATAACTTTGTGGATAAAGTACATCCTCTAAATACCGAGAAGGCAATATACAGAGGGTCAGAGACTGGAATTGAATGAAAACTCAAGAAATTCAAAAAGGAAATCTAGGTGAGAATGCCAGTCGAAGTCACTAAAATGGGTCCCCAATTATCAAGTAAAGCATGACTCTCGGAGTACACCAAGCTTTTATGTTCTTTCCCACATTCATAGGTGAGTGATTACGTTAGCTGAGGTATACAGCAGGCACCGGGAACCATAGGAAGGGAGCCTCCAGGGCCTGATTTTTTTTTACCCAAACACCGGTAGAAACCTCGCGATATTTCACTCCCTCCTGGCTCGCAACAAAACCTATCTTCTGGGCCGACGCAAGCCCAACCCTCTGACAGAAATGACCGCCTTCGCCAAAAAGCTCTGGGCTCATCACCTGCGGGACCCCTGGGCCCCTGAGTGAGGGGTCCGGACAGGTTGGCCGAGGTTCCTTTCGCTCGTCGCAAACTGCAACCTCTTCCTAGCCTGGGCTGCAAATGGCTCCCCTTCCCTACACCCGCCCTTGGGCCCGGCTTCAGGGTGTGGGCATTGCCGCCTCTTTATTACCGACCTCAGAGCTAAACTCATTTTCTCTTCGGACAGAGATGTTCCTCTCAAGAACGATTTTAAACCCCTACCCAACGCAGCACGACTTCCACAAGCCGTTCAACAGACTCGAACGACCTCAGCGGCCTCTAGGACCGGCTGGATTGGTTGAAAGCTGCTAAATGTTTTGCCCAGTAGGGCGGAAGCTTCACGAGTCCTTCATTTTCATTGGAGGAATTTCGCGTCAATCAAATAAACCGTTCTGCCCAGCTCTCCTGCTGCCCCTCCCACCCATTAGGTTGGCCTGATGCTTTTCCCCCCAATCCTTTGCGGGACCATCCTGCAACTCTCCGCGTGTGGAGCGGGCGGCGGGCGGCGGCTGCTCCCGCGCGTGGAGACCTGCAGACCCAAGTTGGGTGACTTGAGACAAGGCGGACAAGTCTGAGGGAGGGGACAAGAAGAGTTTCCGGAGGCCGCCCTCCCCCTAGAAGGAGGGAGTGATAACTGGGGAAGAGATCTGAGAAAATTGGCTTCGCACTGGTCTAAAACTTTGGATGTCCTATGACCTGGGGAATTGTTTAAAACACAGGTCTAAATGCTCCTTTCTCCATTCTAATTTCAGTAAGTGTGGATTTGTTTTCCGCTTACCGTTCAAGTGATTCTGAGGCAGGTGCTATGGACTATATACTTGGATTGTCACTGGGTTGGATTATTAGGCTATTTACGGTGAAGTGGTACCCAAACCATCCCTTCCTTTTTCCTCTTCAGTACAGTTTGAAATGGGTTTGACCATTTCTGTCCTTTATTTTCCACTTCTGTGAGCTATTTGTACACAGATGTTATCTTGAGTACAAGTCTAGTTATTACTTTCCTATTAGGCTTAATTTCTTGAAAGACATCTATCTTCCATTTAATACTATTCCTTGTACCTATGATGCATAGGTCTCAATATTTGTTGCATTGAATGTAATCTTGTTGTGGAAAATTTACAAATGAACTAAACAGCAAATTTCATAAAGTGAATAAAATAGCCTGAGAGCGGGGGTCAGAGAAAGTGGAAGGATAAATAAATACTTTATGTGTAAAGGATGTATATAAAGAGAAGGAAAAACATAGCCAGGCAGAGGCCTCTTGAAAGAAATGATATATTAGTCATAGAAGGATGAGATGAATTTGGGCAAGTAAACATCATAAAATAGAAGCTAAAAAATAATATATAAGCATAGCAGCCCTAAAAATAAAATATTTAATTTTAAAGACCTTATTAATCACCTGAGTCTAAAAGGAAAATAGATTGCAATTATACACTAGAATGTAATGACATTGAAAAATATTATATTGAAAATATATAAATCAAGATTTAGAAGAAAATAATTTTACTTAAATAAGAAAGGATGAAAATAAACCAAGCATGTACTTGAAGAAGTTGGAAAGGAAGAACAAAATAACTGATTATTGAAAAAGCAACAAAAAATTAAAAAGAATGATAAAATTAATAAATGATAAAATATTCTCATATTAAGCTACTTCTTACCAATATTGATAAAATTCATGGGTTTCTGTGATGTGTAATAAGAAAGAATATTGCCAGTAAAAATTGGTAATTTAAAAGGGAGGTTTAAAATTTATTAACTACACAACTTCATGAGCAAATATGTACTATCAAAACACAATAGTAACTTTTCAAGGAAAACAACAAATGAAGATAGAAAACTGGATTTGGTAAATAACAAAACTGAAAAAAATATGCTAAAAGTACTTACACCAAATTATAATCATCCAGCATACTTAGATTTAATGGGGGAGTTTTAAAAACTCTTTAATAGTTAATTCTTGCTCTATAATCTCAAAGCAGAGAAAATGGAAAATGGAGACTTTGGGGGCTTATTTTTAGAAGGTAACACAACCTTCAGCATCCTAAAAAAGCATTTAAAATTTCTCACTATAAGCCCAGTGATGACAGAGATAGCATGTGGCTCATGGTATCTCTAATACCAGGCTCATATTTGATGTTTATTTGTAAACATATGTGCAAAAAACCGTAGACTTTAGCAAAATCAGTTTGATAATGTCTTAAAAGAGTATTTTACTATAATCAAGTGAAGTTTATTTTTAAAGTGCAAGGATAATTCAAAATATTTATTAATCATTCTAGATGAAGGAGATCATCTCAATTTTAAAAAGTTACTGAATAATATTCAAATATTCAATTCTAATAAGATAATACAGGTACAGGAAATACTTTTTAAAAATGTGGACAACATACTTAAAATTTTTTCTCAAATCTGGTCTCTAAAATAGAATTTATGAGATGTTTATAGTCCTTTTATGGGCAAATAATCTGGTGAAAATAGATTTAAAATGTAAAACTAAAATGTTTTCAACAGAAGATCCTCTTAAAGGAATGGTGGGGAAGTAATCTATCTGGAACATTGTGCCCTGCTACACCTTAAAGTCAGATCATCTATTACAAAATAAAAATGAGATTAGCAGCTCTGCCTCAGACATCATTAAAACAACTACCAATATTATTCTTGAAATTCTCATCAGTGATGCAATAAGACAAGAAAAATGACATAAAATTTATATTATGTATTAATGATATGATTACCTGGAAAAAGCAAGAGTATAAAAGAATGTATTGTTATTGATAAAAGAATTCAGTAAAGCAGCTGATTATCATACAAAATCAATATATTTATGAAATATAATGATTAATAATAGCAATGTGAACTTCCTAGAAGTAAATTTAACAGGAAATAAGTTTCCTAAAACATACTCAAGAAAATATGGTATCAGAAAAATCATTACCCTGAAACAGGAATTTCAGAGAATAAGAAAAGACTGTCAAAATTGAAAATATGTTTGCAGAAGTTAAAATTATAATAGAATGGTAAGGTGATTCAATTGAGGAAACATTCCAGAACATACAGTATTCAAACAAAAATGTAGGCATTTTGGAAAAAACAGAGGAGTAATTTATCATATATCTAATAGGAATTCCAGAGACAACAGCAAATGTTGGAAAGACTGAAAATTATCAAAGAAATAATTGAGAAATTACAAGGAACTAAAGATTAACACATAAAGTCTCCAGACTGGCAGGATTCACCTAGGTCTGAGCAAAATAAATGGTAAAAGAAACAAACCTAGCCACATAAACAAGACATTTTAGAGCATGAAAAAAAATAAAGACTAAAAGCTTCCAAAGGTAAGAATATGACCTAAAGGAATAATGAATTAGCATCAAATTTCTTATCAGAAACACTAGATACTAAAGGGCAAGGCCTTCAAAACTCTAAACTGAAATTATTTTGAACTTAGAATCCTATTTCCTGTCAAGACAAAAATCATGTCACAACATAATTTAGAAAGCTTAATCATATTCTCTGTCTGAGAAATGCTGTCCAGAAATATAAGAGTGAAATACAAAAATAACAGATGTGAAATATAAGAGTATGGAGACAGACTGGCCCACGAAAATGTCCATGTCCTTATCTGGAATTTATGAGTATATCATGTTGCATGGCAAAAGAAAGTTTGCAGGTACCATTAAGGTTACCAGCCTGAAAATTATGTATCCTGAGTTATGCAATGAACCCAGTATAATCACAGGAGCTCTAAAAATTAGATACTTTTCTCCATTTAGAAGCAGAAGTATTATAGCAGGAGGGGTCAGAGAGATCTGAAATAGTTGAAAGACTCAATTCACTTTATGACTAGCTTTAAAAATGAAGTAATGAACCAAAGAACATAGATTGCTTCTAGAAGTTGAGATGACTCTTCAATCCAACAGTCATCAAGAGAACATGGACCTCAGTCCTACAAAAGCATGGAACTGAATTGGGTCAACAACCTGAACAAATGGGGAAGAACTTTCATCCCCAGACTCTGAAGAAAGAAGCACCACTCTGATAATATTTTGGGAGTCCTTGCTAGACCCTAAGCAGAAAAATGGGTTGAGCCACACTGTACCTAAATGTCAGGCTTGTAGGAAGGTGACATACCAAATGGGTGTTGTTTTAAACCACTAAGCTTGTAGTAATTTATTGTGACAGCAATAGAAAACTAATACACCTCATAAGGCAGTGGGAAGAGAAAGGAGAATAAACAAGAAATTTAAAAGAAATTGGTCTAAAATGAATTAATGGATAGCTGAAAGAGTATTTTTAAGAAGAAAAATTGGATAGATTTCAAACAATGGATAGAAATGGGCACACAAGGTGAATGCAGTCAGTGACATATAAAGAAAGTATTTATTTCTTCACTGTAAAAGAAGTAAAAGCAATTAATTAGGAAAAATAAATTTAGACACAGACTTCAAATTTTTATCAAAATAAGTTAAAAGTTTTAATTGTAAAAGAAAATTACTAAAAGAATATATCATTCAATAGTTTTACAATCTTAGAATTCAGGAAGTCTTCCTCAGCATAATTACTAAGTCAGAGCTCATAAGAGGATGATATATTTGACAACATAAATATGTAAAATATCACTGGGCACAGTGGCACCTACTTGTAATCCCGATAGGAGGCTAAGGCTGGAAGTTTGGAAGTTTGGGGACAGCCTTTGCTACTTAGAAAGACCCTCAGCAACTTAGTAAAACCCTAAAAAATTAAAAATTAAAAAAAGTATTTGAATGTAGCTCATTGAACCCCGAGTTCAATTCCTAATTGAAAACAAAAGTAAAATATCTATGCTTTTAAATAAAATGTGTGCCAAACTTTATAATTAACAGTTCACTCTAGAAAACAACAATGAAAACTGAAGAAAGTGATCAATACAGATGTCAAATATCAATGATTCTTTGGTTATGACATCAAAAACACAGGCAACAAAAGAAAAAGTAGATAAATTGGACTTTATCAAATTAAAATCCTTGGTGCATCATAATATACTAAGGAGAGTTAAAAGTCTGGAATTGGTGATACACACCCATAATCCTAGCAGCTCAGGAGGCTGAGACAGGAGAATTGCAAATTCAAAGCCAGCCTCAGCAACTTAGGGAGGCTATAAAGAACAGCTAGATTCTGTCTCAAGATAAAACATAAAAAGTTAGGGCAGGGGGTGCTGGGACTGGGGATGTGGCTCAGTGGTTAAGTGCCCCTCGATTCAATCCATGGTATTAAAAAAAAAAGAAAGAAAGAAAAAAAAAGTGAAAAGACAAGCCATGTGGAAGAATGG